ATTTTGATTTTTTTATTGTTTCAAGCTAATATATGCTGAAGGGTTTTTATCCTGAACCACAATAGAGGTTCATAATAGGGATCGCTCAGGAATTTCACAAACATCCTAATAGAACATACAGGCAAAAACCATCTTAAAAAGCAGACTTGTTCTTGAAACAACACCCAAGGCTAAGGCTGCTAACATATTGATAATAGCAAAAAAAAGTATATTTTCCGACTGTTAGACAAAATTCAATGTTCAGCCATTTGTTCTTCATATTATTATTCTTTCACAAGACTACAGACAAAAATAGCTAAGAAGCATCGAAGCCTACAGCAAAGCAGTTAGGTATATTGCGCCAAAATCTATGAACAGCTACTAAACAAACTCCTGCAAAGGTTGTAGTGTTGTTTTAAAGTTGATTCTTGAAAGTCGAGATTTCCATCCTCTAAAATTTTCTAAATTATTCTTCACTACTAACATAAGCTCTTCCAAGCCATTCAAGCATCGCAGAAATGTAGCACCATTATACTAGTCAGAAATGCTTCATTTTATACTAGTTGGAAATGCTCATTTTATTAGAGTAAACAATGTGTATATTTATAATAGTGTCTCCAGCCTTATTATTATTGATTGTAGTTTTACAAGCCGCTACAGAAAAACCTAAATATTCTATTGATACTTGGACAGTAGTAATGAATCCAGTATTGAGTATTTCATAGAGTACTTTTAAAATTAATTCAAGTGCCTTTCTTTTTCGCCCTGAAGAATTTCTCAAAGTCTTTCACTTTTCTCCATTGAAAAAAATCCGGTGTTTTACTAATGAGCATCATTGATTGGAAAATAATTTTTGCAACATATAGTGCATTAACTGTAAACTGCCATGTTGAGGATTCATCATTTCATGAGTTCGCTGTTGTACTTTGTCTGTACGTGGTTTTCTGCGACTAATTCAGTGGGTTTTCTAACAGCAGACAATTACCATAAAGATTTATCTACTATGGTGAGTGGTGGTGTATTCCAAGTATTTTTGTATTTCGCTGAAATTATGAGTACTTATTTTAGTATTATTTTGTCATTATTATTATTATTTGCTTCACAAGCCTACAGCAAAATCGGCTGTGTATTTTGCACCAAAACCTAGTCAGATATACTCGATGAAAGTTGAGAATGTCCATGGCCTATTTAAAAAGTTGATTTTCATTGAAAATTAATTTACGTGACTATAAGTTCGTAATATATGCGATATTGTTGTGAGCGGCTTTCTTTGTACTCGACGCTTGTTAAACGGGTGTTTACACAAAATCTCAGGCACAAACCATTTGGCTCAGTAAGTAATATTTGGGTGGAAAAACAATCAATGCAGCAATAAACTGTTAAAAAACATGTAACATTCAACTGAATACCTATGCACATATGCAGCTTAAAATTGATTACCCATAAATGGACATAAAAACTTAACTTTGTTAATTTGAAAAGGGGTATAGGAATCGTCAAGAAAGTACAGAAACAAGTATATAACCTTTGCATTTTGATTCAACTTGTTTT